TAGTATATATATATATATATATATATATAAATATATATATTCGTATTCATATCTAATTATAGACGTATTTATCATGTACGAATATATATGTGTATTTTTATTTGTTCATATATATGCAGCGGTGTTATTCAATCGAAAGGTGTTGCATACTTGGAATGTATTACTTGGCTGCAAGGAGTTCCATCGTTCATGCGTGCCTACAACCCGTGGTAAATCGCAGCTAGTTTGTAGACACTCATCTTCGAACCATTTGTATAGCGGCACAAAAGAAGAGCCCAAAAAAGGGGAAATACCAATCTATAATGTTCAAGAGCTAAGTTTCTGTGACGGTATGAGAATGCGCTGCTAATAGGAACACCGTATACACCTACCCACAGGCACTTCTGGAGTTGACGAAGCATCAGCCCGAGAGCGATAAGCAAGAAAATGTCGGCCATGTCAAGCTTCAGCTCAAAGCCCTGCGAGACCCCTGGGTGTTCGAAGTGAGCTGCAGATGCAGCGAGTGTAGGCGTAAGCAGTCGGACGATGGTCCACCGTCGTGGTGTGTACCTGTGTGTATACTGATTCTATGATCGTACCGTGGTAGTATGTGTTTTTATGATTGTATTCTGTGTGTATTCTGTGTTTTTAAGATTTTATTCCGTGTAGTATGTGTTTTTATGATTGTATTCTGTGTGTAGTATGTTTTTTGTGACTGTATTCTGTGTGTAGTATACGTTTTTATGATTGTATTCTGAGTGTAGTTTGTGGTTTAATGATTGTATTCTGTGGGTAGTGTGTTGTTCTAAGATAGTGTCCTGTATGTAGTATGTGTTTTTATGATTGTATTCTGTGCGTAGTATGTGTTTTTATGATTGTATTCTGTGTGTAGTATGTGTTTTTATAATGGTATCGTGTTTGTATTGTGTGTTTTTATGATCGTATCCTGTGTGCAGTATGTGCTTTTATGATTGAATTCTGTGTGTAGTATGTGTGGTATGATTGTATTTTGTGTATAGTTTGTGTTGTACGAATATACTGCACATCTTGGTGTGTTACTTGTCGCATGTACATGTATATGTATTATAACAATTGTGTACCATAGCAAACATGAAAGCAAATGTGGGTGTGGCACTTACAATGCCGTGGGTTCTACATCGCCTAAACGGATAAGATGAGCGAAATGAGAGGACTGATGGTCTATGAGTGTTTCTAAAAGTAGAGTCAATGCAAGGAAACACTAGTCTGCTCTCTCGGAGGGTATTTCTAAATGCCCTGCTCAATATTCCTTACCAATGCAGTGTTCAATTGTTCGATATCGGACCCGACTACGTAGTGCTACAGGTAGTGAAGTCCGCGGAAGAGTCCCGAGGGGTATGTTTGCAGTTTCGGTCACTACGCAAAAAAAGAGAGGGAGACGCTGGAGACCTGTCGTGGAGTAAGTGGGCGGATATAGCCCAGGGCAAACCCATCACATCGCGGATTATTAGGAAAAAAAACTTGGAACCCAATACCCTCTACACTTTCAGGACCAAAGTGGACGGGCAGAGGAGCTATGCTATGCCTACGGAGGAGTGGCGTACGCTGGAGATTTCAACAGCGCGCCCAACTCAGCCCCAACTAAGGGCGCCTGAGGTGTGTGTGTTGTGTACGAAGTTTAAGAGTGCACGGGAGAGTGACTGTGTTGGGTGTGTAATGATACATGTTTCAGCTTACAGCTCGTGGTGTATGTGAGGGGGTTTTGAGGGCGAATAAACGTTATATATGGAATGGTGGTCGATCCACGATAGCGATGTGAGGCCACTCAGAAGCCCACGCTTATGGCTCATGAGATATGGGAAGTTATGCATATTGGTATTGAATTGTGAGATCCGTGTGCGTGATGTGAGAGAGATTGTATGTGTGTGTGTGTTGGCAGGTGTACGTGTTTACTAGCGAAAAGGCGTGGATGTTATCGTCATAGGTGGATTTTTCTGTTTTTATTTACGCCATAATACAGAGCCAAATTGTTAAACCGTTTCCAGTAGTTCCGTGGAAATGTAATGTGAGGTGAAAATGTATGGCAGTCGTTGATGTGCCAGGGTATATGTATAAGGATTTATTCGACAGCTCTGAATATGTTTGGACGTATTACGTGAAATAATTGATTGTTCAAGTTGTGAAGAAAGGATGTTTTCATTTGGTACCAAATTGAAGTGGTGGTTACCCACCCATGGCGTAGCCTAAGCTACTGCTGAGCAACTGCCGAGCTCGAAGTGACATGCAGAAGGCCACTCGCAATTGCTGTTTTTTTCTTTAAATAGCGCACAGTAACATAAGTCCTAAGCACACATGAGTTAATGTGTATCTACTTGAAGAAAACGTCCTTTTGAATAAAATCAGATTATCCCCTAAATACATGTGAGTGCATCTATCACGATACAAAAAAAAATTCATATCCACGAACGAAAATTTTTCCTCATCTGTACATGTCTACCCGCATCTGCGAACAAAATTAGTCATCCGCGCTGGTGGTGGAGTGGAAAGCATATTTAGTACCGAATTGCACCGTGAAGTATAAGCTACAGATGCGAAGCGCTGACGACGCCGAATGGAGTGACGTGGCATCTAATCTGACTTCTACCAGCGTTAGGAAACGCAATCTGGACAAAGACAACACTTATTCCTTCAGGTAGGTGTCCATCTACTATCCCATTTGGTATATTTGCACTGTAACCAGAACGGTCTTAGAATTGTAGGCCGTGCACATGCTCCGCAGAAGAAATTGCACCATGTAACCGTGATATAACATATCTGCTACATATACGCTGATTGTTAACCGCGTGTGTGCTCGATATTGAATCAGTTGTCAGCCAGGTGCTGTTGATAGACACCCATTGGTGCTTTCGATGTATCCCCTCCCTTCAGCGTGTAGAAGGGCCGCTTTTCTTCTTCTAAAACTGATGTCTTGTTTTTAGAGTTCAATACACACACACGTCTCGGAATGCATGCGTTTGCTAAACACAACTGTGCCATCACTGGGACATGGTTTAACCTAGCGTATCATAGCGCCGTATGAGTGCACATGGCCTGCATGAAACGTACCTTCAACAGGTAGAGACACACACAGTAGGTTCCAGCTGTATATACCAACAAGTCTCTCTTTACCTCTGATCTGAACAGGGTTCGAGCGGTTATCACAAAGAATAAAAAGGCCGAATCAGGATCCGACACCGACACGTCTGCTCAGGACGATGTAACGCTATCGCCGTACAGTGTACCCAGCGAGTTCTTCGCGTTGCGCCCCCCAACGCAATGGGATTATTTATTCGGTAGGTGGAAGCGTAAAAGTGTCATAGACGAGAAGATGCAACCATTTAAGTTGATATGTACATCGTAATTACGGTCAACGCCATAACAGGCAAAAATATCTGACTATGTAAGTTGATACGGACATCATAATCACAGTCAACGCCATATTGGCCCAGAACGTATCCGGCGGAGTCTGTGCTGTGCGCTTTCCATGGCTATGGCAGTACTTGTCCGTATGTTTAGCTCAGTATTGATGTAGTGTCAGCTTAGAGTGTATTGTACGGGTAAGTGGTAGGCGTGTAGCCCCACGTGTAGGGAGGGGTGTGGCGTAGCAGGGCTTTTGCAAGAAATGCACTCGCAAGCTGACGTAAATGTGTGTGCGAGAGTAAATATGTCACATACACCCATGCTTTATCACACGTTAACTCACATTTCGCATACGCTGCCACAGGTAAATCACTAGTAAACGCCCGCGGCGAGTCTGAGCCCACTCAGAGTCTCTCAGGGAAGTGTGTTGCCTTATACTGCAGCGCCAGTTGGTGTGGGCCATGTAGACAGTACACGCCCAAGTTGACGCAGATGTACGAAGATTTCAAGAAGAAAGGGTTACAGTTTGAGGTGGTGTTTGCAAGTGCGGATAGGGATGCGACGAGCATGCAGGCATACTTTGCGAAGATGCCGTGGCTGGCCATTCCATATGAGAACCAAGAGGTGTGTCGTTCTAGCTTTATATGGAAATCTGCAAAGTGTGCTATATATAATTAGAGTTGTTTATATATACATGTTTATATGTGGATGTACATAGGTAAGGAATTTCTGATACACACGTGCGTGTGTTGCCTTTGATAGTCAGTATGTATGAGTGTGAGTGCATCGGCAATACTAAGAGTGTGTGCATGTATGCGTATGTTTACGTGCTGCGCTACAACTACACTGGAGTTTCATTAAGTACCGATGCTACTTGCTTTGTTTATTTACATCGGGTCTACTATCCCGTAATGGTCTTGTAGGACATCTTATTCGGGAACGTCATCCATGATATGCCTTGATAGATTGCCTGCAGAATAACATTGGTTATTCCTTACACACGATGTTGAATTTATACTCGTTCAAGTGGTGCATGAGTGTGCTGATACCTGAATACGTTTCTGACAGCCATCCAACGGCTTTCCAAAAACCATGTAAAGGCGATTGACAACTAAATACAGGGCTACGTTGGACACAGTGCCGCTTTATTCATATTAGACATAATGTTTTATTCATATATTATACATGACACACCGTATATTCCTTAACACACGCACGCACATACTATACACGCGCGCACACACACACACACACACAGAGACACAGACACACATACACGCACACACACACACATACACACACACATATATATATACATATATATATATACTTACATATATATATATATATATAACACAATATATATATATATATATATATATCATCTAATAAATTTATATATATATCATCTAAACCACACGCAGATCATAGAGAACATCATGCGCGTCTACGAAGTGAAGGGAGTGCCTCGTTTGATAGTCTTCGATGCGAATGGACAGGTAGTGATGGCCAATGGCGTGCAGCAACCGCTTACGGAGAACATGATTGTACAATGGGCTGCCGTGTAGTTGAGAATAATTAGTAGGAGAATAAAGTATGATTCGCCAATGAGTAGCAGATTATGTGAGCAAGGGAGCAAAGAGACGAGATAAGTCTGGGATGGGTATAGCAGCTACAAAGCGAGTAGGCAAAACGATGTGGTGGTGTGCTCTATTACAGGCAGTGTGGTCAATGGATTGCAGCAACCGCTCACTGGGAATGTGATCGCACAATGGGCTGGTGTGCAGTTGGCCAATTAGCAGTATAGATAATGCGTGATGTCTATGTACCGCAGAATTGATGAGAACGGTAGAGGTAGCAGGTAAATGACAAGTCTGGGATGGATACATCAACCTCAAAGCTGATATGTGTCTGATATACTCCTGTGCCGGTGATAATGGCCAATGCCGTGCAGCAATTGCGCACAGGGAACCTTATCGCACAATGGGCTGCCGTGTAGGTGGCGGATGGGCAGCAGTATTAAAGTAGGGTATACCGATACGAAACAGACTAAGTGACAGTGGGGATGAAAGGTCATGTACTAGTTACGAGCATATTACACGAGTAAGGTAGCAAGTAGATTGTGAATTTGGAATGGGTCTGGCTCCAAAACCAGTGATACTCAATGTGTTGCATTTGATGCACCAGTGCCCGTGGTTACGGTCAAAGGTGGATGGTGTACAGCAACCGCTCACCAGAACGATGATGACGCTGTGGGCTGCCGTATAGGAATCCAATAATGGTGACCCCGGGTATAAGATGGCACATAAATGCTTAAGGGATCAACAACAACACCAAGCAACGCAACGTTGTTGTCACGCTATCCTTTTTTAACAGGCGAGGATGGCCAATAGTCGTGCTTAGTAACCGCTGACCGGGGCGATGATCAACACTGTGGACTGTCGTATAGTAGACAAGCGGACAACAGGAATCAACAACGGGACTCCAAAAGACGTATAAAATGCACAGACATCAATAGCATTGTTGCATTGGTATTCATGCCCAGGCAAACAAGTTCCATTTAGTTTAAAGTTATCTCCACAAATTTGTTGGTGCCAAAGTTCCTCGCGGGATAGTCAATCTAAAGCACCAGCGGGTTCTTAAATACACTTAAAAACCGCAAAGAGATACACATTCGTTCACAGATCCCAGATGTTCCGAGGTCGATTGCTGACATTCGTTACTCTGGCAAAGGTTTTTGTTTTTGAAACACCGTCATAAATCAGGCACTTCCTGTGCTTGTCTCGTAAGACAACATTCCAAACTAAAAGCTGCAATTCTCATCCTGGAGAATCAACGATATGACATTTACTCGCAGTTTTATTGATCAGCCCGGAGCATCGCTTCTCTGAGCTTTGATATATACATACATACACACGCACACACACACACACACACACACACACACTATATATATATATATATATACTACATAATATATATATAGTATATATATATATATATATATATATATATAGTATATATATATATATATATATATATATATATATATATATATATATATTTATATACCTATACACACACACATATATATATATATATATATGTATGTATGTATGTATATAATGTATGTATATTAGTATATAAGCATATATATATATATATATATATATATATATATATATATATATATATATATATATATATATATACAAACACACACACACACATATATATCAAGTACCGTAAGAATTACCGGTAAATGTGAGAAAGATGAAGCGGAATGTAGGAAGTGTCAACCATCTTGCTGTCTCACACAATGGACGTTGGATAGGCAGGTCGAGCTCTTCGAGGTAAACCCTGTGGATATTGTGAATAGCCTAAGCTAATCTCCAGTATCACAGACTAGGCAGTATGTGGGTGTGTCGACGGCGGAGAAAACTTCTTTATAGCTGGCTGTCATAATAATGTCCCTGGGGGTACTATACAACAAGACAACTCCCAGATCCGTTGTCATAGAGTCAACAGAATTATCGAATAGAACGGCCTAATATTTTTTGTTTAATTTAGAGCCCGTCAGTGGACCTATATATGCGCATGTAAATCTCCCACCTCATGCTGAAGTGTGCGTTCTTTCACTCAGTTGTGTGGTACTATTGCTCCAGTGACCTGCAGATACCTACGCCTGTGTATGTAAATTCTTCTGTCATACACACGTCTAATTGGTACAACTGCTTGTGTAAATACCTAATCCGTCAGGCGTAAGCTATATTCTTTCACATACACCTGTATCTTCACCTCTTTGATCACCTTCGAGGCGGCCCGTTCTGTTGTACCAGTGGTTGCGCAGAGTACATCTCTGCGATCTGAGGGCAGTTTCAATGAAAATGCGAGGGTACTAGACATGAGGCTTTAAGTTCATTGTGTTATCAACCTGTGCGTATTCAACAATATAGGCCGAACCGTTGATATGTAGCAAGTGTCTTCTATGTGTGATTTCAACTGCAACTGTTTGTGCTAACATATACACTAAAAATGCCCGTTTGGATTTCGAAATTGTGCACAAATATACAAAGATAAGACTATATGTCTGGGAGCCGTATTGAAAATGCTACTGCTGCACACTTCCATATTCTCTGACAAATAAATAGCTACCCGAGAAATATATATGGAGTGGCGCGTCTCTATGTAGACCATGTATGCAGAAAATGCGGGTACATAGAATGCTCTCAATACACAGGTATATTTCTTTCACGAAAACTCGCATTAAGAACTATGCGAGTGCAGGTTGCACGCGTGGGTGGCACCAAGCAGCCCCGCTCACTATTGCATACACAGACTGACCACGTGGGACTGGTGTCTAATAATCAACACACTTGCAGTTAAGTTTGTCAATCGAAACGTGGATTACGACACAACCCAAAAGCGACGGAGAACGCACATAACATGCTCACATCATAGTCCTCTTGTGGTAAGCAACATCACACCTTTGGTATCAGCAAGCAACATCACACCTTTGGTATCAGCAAGCAACACAACCAAACGGTTCAAGCGACAGCGCACTTCTCATCATGTGAGATTATAAGCGCCATCCTCACATGACGGCAGTGATAGCGCCAACGCCCTTGTTGCTTCAACATTCGACTGACTATCTCAAATAGCTTTGTAAAGTAACACTGTGCAGATAGACCTTAGACAAGCATTCCTATTTAAACACAAACTATTTGAGCACAGTTAACTACATCTACAAGGAAGGTCCAAAGCAAGTTCTACACGGGCGCGCACACGCACACGATCACACGTACTCTGCTAGAACTGGTGGCCTCGTCGGGTTTCTTGTCATCTCTAATTCGCAGCACTCGAGGAAAGCGCAGAGAGATGCCTTTGGTGGGATGAACCTCACCCACACCGGCCAAATAAGCTGGTGAGATGGACAGATCCGCTGCCTTGATTTCCCATACCTGATGTGATTGGAAGACAAATGTATATATTGGAAAGAGAATAGACATTTAAGACATCAAACCGCAATACAGTTAAGCTCACAAGCCTTTTGTGTATGTGCTCGTACATGCCAACGCACAATAGGTTCATTGCACTGAGTATGTATATGATTTTTTTTCCGGTTAAAAGTACTTCACTCGCTGGATAAGTTAGCGATATGAACAAGATTGATTGCCTCGATTGCACACAACCAAAGAGCCTCGCACAGGGCGTTATACTTGAGAGAGCACTGCCCAATATCGCAATGTTATATGAATACAAACAGACATGTCTCTCAACTAGAGGCGTAAAAAAGGGGCATTAGATACCGAGTATGTAATATGAAAGCCTTGCTGTCCATTCCGTACAAATGTCGGTCCCCTCGAAAAGGAATAGGTTTTGAGAGGATACCATAAACACACCCACCGAAGAGGAAACTCCTATGTAAATCCCGATCCATGCTCACCTGCTCTCAGACACACTCATATGTACGCGTAAAAACCATTCATACCGACGCGCAGACGCAACAACGTTATATCAATGATACAAACGAAACACGCCACATACACACGCCATGTGGCCTCACTTTCCGTACCTGTACGGGTTCGAACCAGACGTCTGGTTTGGAGGACTCAGTAGTGCGATAGTACGCCTTCTTCCCCGATTCAGAGAGATGCTTTGCAAAGAACTCGTTGCTGTCCTTGAGGAATTCATTGGTCATCCCAGTACCCACCTACAGTGTCAAAAGACCGATGTAAAAAAACTGTAAGAGCTGGGTATGCGGGTTTGTCCTTGATTCTCGTATTTACCGCTGCTTCTGCATATGCATACATCCCTCAAACGACCAATGTGCACATATGTAGTACAAGGCTGCGTGCCTGAACATATCGTCGTTTTTGTACGTATAGACACAACCCTGCGTGTACGAGATAGCACCGTGAGTGCATATACACAACTGCCTACGCTCAGCGATAGACGAGTAGCCTAATAATATGCGTGAATGGGTCGAAAGGGCCCGGTGGATGTGCATTGGAAAGCCAATATGCTTTGCATACATGAAAAAAGTGTAGACTCTTATACATTCACAAAGTATGCAGATGCATACACACCTTGCAGATAACCTGGTACTCGTCTGCATCCTCGTAACATGATTATATATATATATATATACAAGTTATGCTGATATCCATTAACCTTGCAGATGGCGTGATAGTACTCTACACGAATGGAAAGGATTATACACATCTACACGGACAATTTAACCAAATGCTTTACAAATAGTCTGGTATTCTTCGGCATCGTCGCCAATACACAATATAGACTTACACACACACACACACACACATATATATACGTTCACACCGAATGAATAAACTGGAATATATTTACATATATTAATATTATACAAACACTTTGCAATAATCTGGTATTCTTCGGCGTCCTCGCACTGACATAGAATATACAATAGAATATATTGATACAGTATGTACATACACATACATATATATACCTTGCAGATAGCCTGGTACTCTTCTTCATCCTCGTTATAGCACGCCAGAAGATATGCGGCATACCATCCCGTACGCTTGCCTTGGCCATACCACGCCCCAATCACCACCAGATCAAAGGAATCACCAAGACCCCCATCTTCAATATAGTCCTTCTTCAACTACGTTTATATCGGGAGCATGGTTGGGAAATACAAATGTGAGCAAGTGTGTACACACACATACCACGCAGAAGTCCCATATTTGTGATGAAACGACACGGGATACATGTTAAAATATACACACAATTCAGTCTCTCCAGTATTACACGTATGAGATTCTCAATGGGGAATCTTCCTCAACTCTTTGAAAGATTATGCATGAACTTTTACAACAGGTCGGTCGATGCAATAACCACAGCAAGGACTAGAGACTGGCTCACGTATAAGTACTATAGCAGATTCTATAAACACAAATATGCATCTTAGTTAGCAAAATTAAGGTAGCAGTGTGTCTGTTGGTAAGCGTGCTCGGGACAAGGGATAAACAGTAGCGATCTATTCAGAAAGTCACCTTGTGCATACAAAAACAAATAGGTTTACAATTTGGCATACACGCACGTACGTTCACGCAGCTTCAAGTAAAACTACGTATATATATATACATACATACATACATACATGTATACATACATACATACATACATACACATACACACACCCATATATATACATACACACACACACACACATATATATATATACATATATATATACATACATATATATATATATATAATATATATATATAT